AGCAGCCAATAATATAAACCAACTAATAACCAAATTAAAGAAACACATTGATAACAGTACAATATTAGTAGGGGACTTCAACACCCCACTCACAGCAATGGACAGAAACATCTAAGCAGAAGATCAATAAGGAAACAAAGGCTTTGGGTAGGGAGGGGCAAGATGGCGGAAGAGCAGGGTCCCCAAATCGCCTGTCCCCACCAAATTACCTAGATAACCTTCAAACCATCCTGAAAATCTACGAATTCGACCTGAGATGTAAAGAGAGACCAGCTGGAATGCTACAGTGAGGAGAGTTCAAGCTTCTATCAAGGTAGGAAGACGGGGAAAAATAAATAAAGAAACAAAAGGCCTCCGAGGGGGAGGGGCCCCGCGAGGAGCCGGGCTGAGGCCGGGGCGAGTGTCCCCAGGACAGGAGAGCCCCGTCCCGGAGGAGCAGGAGTTGCACCAACCTTCCCGGGTGGAAAGGGGCTCGCAGGGAGTTGGAGCAGGACCCAGGAGGGCGGGGATGCCCTCGGGCTCCCTGGGACACTAACAGACACCTGCGAGCGCAGGAGAGTGCTCCGAGCTCCCTAAGGGCTGCAGCGCGCATGGCGGGGCTCCGGAGCGGCTCCGGAGGGGCTCCGGAGCGGCTCCAGGGAGGGGGCTGCGGGGCGGGAGCGCAAATCCAACAGCGCAGGCCCCAGAGCACAGGGCGCCGGGACACAGCCCAGGATCCGGCCTCCCACGGGACAGGCAGAGGCCGGGAGGGCCCAGGACAGCAAAGACGCTCCTGCCCCGAGCTGAGCAGATCAGCGGCCCCGCCCCGGAGCCTCCAGGCCCTGCGGACAGAGAACCGAGAGCCCCGAGCCCCGTAGTTCCTGCGGGGGCTGAATCCAGGCTTCCAGAGTTGCCATAGCAACTGCTGCTGTTCCTCCTGGGGCCCCACGGGGTAAACAACCCCCGCTGAGCCCGGCAGCAGGCAGGGGCAGAGCAGCTCCCCCAAGTGCTAACACCTGAAAATCAGCACAGCAGGCCCCTCCCCCAGAAGACCAGCTGGACGGACCAGTGATACTCCCCCGTGTTCCAACACAACTTGTTTTTGGCCACTCTGCACTGAGCAAAATGACTAGAAGGAAAACCTCAACTCAAAAGAAAGAATCAGAAACAGCCCTCTCTCCCACAGAGTTACAAAATCTGGATTACACTTCAATGTCAGAAAGCCAATTCAGAAGCACTATTCTACAGCTACTGGTGGCTCTAGAAAAAAGCATTAAGGACTCACGAGACTTCATGACTGCAGAATTTAGATCCAATCAGGCAGAAATTAAAAATCAATTGAATGAGATGCAATCCAAACTAGAAGTCCTAACAACGAGGGTTAACGAGGTGGAAGAACGAGTGAGTGACATAGAAGACAAGTTAATGGCAAAGAGGGAAACTGAGGAAAAAAGAGACAATCAATTAAGGGACCATGAAGACAGATTAAGGCAAATAAATGACAGTCTAAGGAAGAAAAACCTACGTTTAATTGGGGTTCCCGAGGGCGCCGAAAGGGACAGAGGGCCAGAATATGTATTTGAACAAATCCTAGCTGAAAACTTTCCCAATCTGGGAAGGGAAACAGGCATTCAGATCCAGGAAATAGAGAGATCCCCCCCTAAAATCAATAAAAACCGTTCAACACCTCGACATTTAATAGTGAAGCTTGCAAATTCCAAAGATAAAGAGAAGATCCTTAAAGCAGCAAGAGACAAGAAGTCCCTGACTTTCATGGGGAGGAATATTAGGGTAACAGCAGACCTCTCCACAGAGACGTGGCAGGCCAGAAAGGGCTGGCAGGATATATTCAGGGTCCTAAATGAGAAGAACATGCAACCAAGAATACTTTATCCAGCAAGGCTCTCATTCAAAATGGAAGGAGAGATAAAGAGCTTCCAAAACAGGCAGGAACTGAAAGAATATGTGACCTCCAAACCAGCTCTGCAAGAAATTTTAAGGGGGACTCTTAAAACTCCCCTTTAAGAAGAAGTTCAGTGGAACAATCCACAAAAACAAGGACTAAATAGATATCATGATGACACTAAACTCATATCTGTCAATAGTAACTATGAACGTGAATGGGCTTAATGACCCCATCAAAAGGCGCAGGGTCTTGTGTGGAATCAGAAAAGACCCCAAACAGCCAGGGGAATTTTAAAAAAGAAAACCATCTCTGGGGGCATCACAATGCCAGATTTCAGGTTGTACTACAAAGCTGTGGTCATCAAGACAGTGTGGTACTGGCACAAAATCAGACATATAGATCGATGGAACAGAATAGAGAACCCAGAAGTGGACCCTGAACTTTATGGTCAACTAATATACGATAAAGGAGGAAAGACGATCCACTGGAAGAAAGACACTCTCTTCAATAAATGGTGCTGGGAAAATTGGACATCCACATGCAGAAGAATGAAACTGGACCACTCTCTTGCACCATACACAAAGATAAACTCAAAATAGATGAAAGATCTAAATGTGAGACAAGATTCCATCAAAATCCCAGAGGAGAACTCAGGCAACACCCTTTTTGAACTTGGCCACAGTAACTGGAGAAGGACAAACAGTGTATGTTCTCATTCATTTGGGGAATATGAATAATAGTGAAAGGGAATATAAGGGAAGGGAGAAGAAAGGTGTGAGAAATATCAGAAAGGGAGACAGAACATAAAGACTTCTAACTCTGGGAAATGAACTAGGGGTGGTGGAGGGGGAGGAGGGCGGGAGGTGGGGGTGAATGGGTGACGGGCACTGAGGGGTACACTTGACGGGATGAGCACTGGGTGTTATTCTGTATGTTGGTAAATTGAACACCAATAAAAAAAAATAAAAATAAAAATTAAAAAAAAGGAAACAAAGGCTTTGAATGACACACTGGAGCAGATGGACTTCACAGATATATCAACAGCATTCCATCCTAAAGCAACAGAATATATATTCTTCTCAAGCACACATATAACATTCTCCAGAATAGATCACATACTGGGTCACAAATATGGTCTCAACTGGTACAAAATAATGGGATTATTCCTGGCATATTTTCAGAACACAATATTGAAACTGGAACTCAATAACAAGAGGAAATTGGGAAGAAACTCAATCACTTGGATGTTAAAGAGCATCCTACTAAAGAATAAATGGGTCAACCAGAAAATTAAATATTTTTAAAAATTGTGGAAACAAATGAAAATGAAAACACAATTCATCAAAACCTTTGGGAGGCAGTAAAGACAGTCCTAAGAGGGAAGTGTGTAGCAATACAAGAATTTCTCAAGATATTATAAAAGTCTCAAATATACAAGCTGACCTTAGACCTAAAGGAGCTGGAGAAAGAAGAATAGTGGGTCCCACAGAGGGGAGGGAGCCAAGGTCACAGACAAGACTGAAAGACAGAGAAGCACACAGGGGAATGCACAAGGAGAATGTTTCCTCAAAGCTATTGGCCTGGAGAAGCACAATGCACTTTGGGCTCTAACCCAGCTAGGATGGCTGAGCTTTAAAACTCCAAACTTTAGGGACCTAGTGTGGTGGCGACCCATGCTGGTCTTCTGGGGGAGTGTCTCATTGTACTGGAACTAATGCAGGTTTAACCCAAGAGGGCAGTGACACGAGAGTCCAGGAGCATAGGGTTTGGATTAAAGCACAGTAAAGAGCCATTGTCCAGGTTAGCCATTCTCAGCTTATAGTGAGTGGTGGGGAAGTCCGCTCCTTTGTCTTCAGAGATGCAATGCTACCTCTCTCAGATGCGCTCTAAGAAGGGGGAACCATCTCTCCTACATCCCAGGAGATTCTCAGATGGCTTCATCTGCCCTGTGAGCTACTTGTCTGCCTGTTCTACAGGAGCACAGTAGTATCCTCAGGGCTCTATCACAGCCAAACTGCAGAACACCAGTCTTTAAGCCCCACTAGTTGCAAAATTTCATGAAAATGAGCCCCTCTTGTTTTCCTGGTTAATTTCTTTGGGTGTTTTCCTTGTGTGCTCCCCTGTTCTCTCTCTCTCTCTCTCTCTCTCTCTCTCTCTCTCTCTCCCTCTCCCTTTCTCCCCCTTGCCCCAAGACCATGGCTCCCTCTCTTCTGCAGCAGTACCCATGATCCCTTTCTCCCACAAACCACATCTCCACAATTCCTACCTTCCACAATGTGGTCTCTTTTCTCCTTCTAGATGTGCAGTTCTGTAAATCCTCAGATCATTTTCGTGGGTATTCAGTATGACTTGGTATTTCTCTAGCTGTGTTTGAAGGACCAGGCAAGCCTAGGGTGCTCCTTAGCTCCTCCTTTGAAATCAATTCAGTGGAGGAAAGATAGCTTTAAAAAAAAAAAAAGGAGTGCTGGGCAGTCCCGGTGGCGCAGCGGTTTGGCAGCGCCTGCGGCCCAGGGCGTGATCCTGGAGACCTGGGATCGAGTCCCACGTCGGGCTCCCTGCATGGAGCCTGCTTCTCCCTCGGCCTGTGTCTCTGCCTCTCTCTCTCTCTCTCTCTCTGTCTGTCTCTCTCTGTGTTGCTCATGAATAAATAAAATCTTTTAAAAAATTTTAAAAAGGAGTGCTGGAAAGTTGGAATCCATAGGCAAAGAAATTAATTTCAGTGTCTCAAGAATTTTATAAAAATTAACTCAAAATAACTCATAGATTTAAATACAAAGCATAAACCTGTAAAACTTTTATAAAAAATGATGTGGGCATCTGAGTGACTCAGTTGGTTAAGTGGCTGAGTCTTGATTTCAGCTCCAGTCATGATCTCAAGGTCCTGGGGTAGAGCTCTGCATCAGGTTCAGCACTCAACTCAGAGTCTACTTCAGATTCTTTCTCTCCCTCTTCCTCAGCCCCTCCTCCCACTTGTGTTTGTTCTACCAAATAAATAAATCTTTTTTAAAAATACAGGAGAGAAAAAATAAAAATAAATAAAAATACAGATATATATATATATATATATATATAGATATATATATATTAGAAAATAAAATGTTTATTTTATCTTTCTGGTTGTGGCCAAGCCAGTCCTTTTCCACCGTAACAGGTGAAATTTAAATCCCAAATTAATCTGATTTGTGGCAGTAAAGGTCCTTAAGTGCTTTTAGCTCCTCAATGAGTGTCTTATTTTGGTTTTCAAGCACTGCCACTCTGTTTTCTAAACATTTCACATATTCTTTCTTCTTTCTACGACACTCTCATGCTGCTTCCCTGTTTTTCATTAGGCGAACCTCTCTCTTTCGTGCTGCTTCTTCAGCAGGCTGTGTAAGAAGTGCTGGGGACGATGCCATAACAACTCCAGGGGCAATGGTGCTAGTGGGTGCTATGCGAATCTGGTACGTCTGTACATCTCCGGAGGCAGCTTGAACAACGACTTGGTTGCTGGGCACTAAGATCTGCTGTCCATCAGTGGTCTGTGCATAATGTAGAATGGTAGTACCCGGCTGAGTGGCAGCTGCATTGGTCATGGTTAATGTTTGCAGGCCCTGTACCCCATCGGTACCATTGTTAGCCAGTTGTATTGCTCCTCCCTGGGTAATGGCAATGTACTGCCCGCTGCTAGTTTGGTAAATCGGGGTTGGCACCGTGACAGTGGTAATGGCAGGTGCCAATGTCTCCTTTTCAGACTTCTCTTCTTCGATCCTTGGCACTCTGGGTGCATCTGAAGATAAGTCATTCAAAATTTTTCTGTAGGAAGGCCTCCTTGAAAGAATTTCTCTTCGTTTTTGGGAATCAGTTACACTATCCACTGACTCCTGTGAATCTTCACTTTCTGCAATAGTTGAAATCTGAACTGTCTGGACTTGTGGAGACTGAATAACTGATGGCTGGGCTGCCTGAATAACGCCATGGACTTGAACTGTCTGCCCATTGGGCAGCTGTACTAAAGTTACGGTGGGGGATCCCTGGGTGGCGCAGCAGTTTGGCGCCTGCCTTTGGCCCAGGGCGCGATCCTGGAGACCCGGGATCGAATCCCACATCAGGCTCCCAGTGCATGGAGCCTGCTTCTCCCTCTGCCTGTGTCTCTGCCTCTCTCTCTCTCTCTCTCTCTCTCTCTCTCTCTCTCTGACTATCATAAATAAATAAAAATAAATAAATAAAATTTAAAGTTACGGTGGGAGCAGATGATGTTGCATGAGCTGCTGGCCTAGATACCTGGGCTAATGTGGCAATCTGTGGCTGGGCTTGAACTGTCATTTGCTGGTTTTCAGCTTCTGTTACAGCTGCATCTCCACTCTGCTGGTGGCCGAGATCATGAATAGCTCAGGGCAGTGGGCAGAGTGGCCGGCGCAGGCGCTTTGGGGGGCTCTGGCCAGGAAGCCTCAGCCCCTTACCCTAGGGTTGGCCAGGAGCTCAGCCAGGGGGCCGGGGTTCCTGGCTCTGCTGCCCCTTTCCTCAGCACTAGCCTGGCTTCCCAGGCTATTCTTGGAGGAGAGTGAGCTTCCTGCCTCCTTCCTCTAAGACAGTCTGGAACAACCTGGGGCGGGGTGGGGTGACCCCCATGCCCAGTCCCTGGCAGAGACTGAGACTAAAGCATCACTTAATAAAGACCCCTCGAAGCCCCCCCCCCAAAAAATATATATATATGGAGAGAGAGAGAGAGAGGCAAGATGGCAGAAGAGTGAGGGTCCTCGTTTCATCTGGTCCCCTAAATTTAGCTGGATAACTATCAAACCACCCTGAACACCTATGAAATCAACCTGAGATGTAAAGAAATAATTACTGGAACCATAAAAATAGAAAAGTGACCACTTTTTGCAAGGTAGGAGTGCAAAGAAAAGAAACAGAGGAGATATATCAGAAGATAAATGGTGAGGGGAGGGAGTCTTTGTAAGCTGGCTGCAGGAAAATGATATAGCTCTGGGGATGACAATTCAAACCTTTAGAAATCTAATCCTATGAGAGGCTTCCCTGCTTGAAAGGTGCTCAGTTGTGAAATGGGGCAGACTCACAGGTGGAACAGTAGGGTGTCAATATTCCTGGAGGCATAGAAAGAACAGAGGTGCCTGAGCCGGGAGAGTTCCTAAGCAATAAATGGAGTGAGGAAATGGGTTTAGGTTGGCAAGCCTGGGAGAAGTCTCAGCATGTTGTGCCATAACCCCCAAACCATGGCCAGATAGGATGACAGCTCTCTGTGTTGGGTCCCTGCAAAAGACTGGAATGCAGTAACCCTCTGTCTTCCTCTGGGAGGTGTGGAGCAGGTCTTAACTCCACTGGGTGAAGGCTCTCTGTGCTAGGACCCTGCAGTGGACAGAAACAAGTGAACATTTTGCTCTCCCTAGGAAGGGCAGAGTGGGCATGGCCATAAATGGGCAAAGGTTCTCCCTGACAAAAATCTACAAATTTCAGAAATCAGTGTCCCTCTGCCTGTCCCAGGGGAGAATCTGAGTGGATGGGCACCATTGGAGTCTGTACAGTTTGGCAAACACCTCTATCACTCAGCTTCAGGGCTGAATATCAGGGCATGGCCGTTTTTTCCCTTTCATCCCAAAAAGAGGGGTGGAAAGTCTTCAGGGAACAATAGTCCCACAGAGCAAACACCTTACTCTGAGCATGGCCCCCTGGCAAGGGACGGTGCAACCCCAGTCCAGGCACAGACACCTGAGAAACAGCTTGGCAGTCCCCTTGCCCAGAAGACCAGCTGGAAGAACAGGTGAATAGCAAGTGTACTGAAGATAAAGGACTGGAAAACTCAAGAACTAGGGGAAAATAGTATATAAAACCTGAGGTTTCTTTTTCTTATGATTCGTTTATGTTTCAGGTTAAAATTTTACATTTTTTTCTTTTTCCCCATTTCAACTAGTTTCTTATTTTATCAACTCTTTTTGTGAGACTTTTATTTTTTGACTTTCATATTTCACAGTAACATGTTACCGATATTTCCTTCCTTTCACCATATTCAATTTTATTTTGGTGCATATATGTTTTGTGAGGTTTTTTTTTATAATTTTGGAATTTAGTATCTTCTAACACAGATCAAAATATACTCAGGACCAAGTGGATCATCCTCTTTTGCCCACTCTCTAAGATTATATTCTGTCTGTCCCATTCCCTTTATGTGCCCTTTTCTGTTTCTCTTTTTTTTTTTTTTTTGTATTTGGTTTTCTTTTTCTTGTCTTTTTTCTTTATTTTTTGGTTCTTGACCTTTCTCTTCTTTTGTTCCTGATTTTATTAATTGGAGTATTTTATCTTTTCTTTTTAATAAGCCTGGGTAGGAGTTTATCTATCTTATTAATTCTTTCAAAGAACCAGATCCAGGATGCCTAGATGGCTCAGTGGTTGAGCATCTGCCTTCGGCTCAGGGTGTGATCTATTCTGGAGAATGTTCCATGTGCAGTTGAAGTGAATGTGTATCCTGTTGCATTAGGATGGAATGTTTTGTGTGTGTGTGTGTGTGTGTGTGTGTATATATATATATATATATATATATATATATATGATGTCCATCTAGTCCAGTGTGTCCTTCAAACCCTTGTTTCTTTGTTGATCTTCTGTTTAGATGATATGTCCCATTCTTAGAGTGGAGTGTTGACATCTTCTACTATTAATGTATTATTATATATGTGTTTCTTTAGTTTAATTATTAATTCGTTGACATAATTGGCTGCCTCCACAGTAGGAGCATAAGTATTTATAATGGTTAGATCTTCTCGTTGTATAGAAACTTCACATATGGTATAGTGTCACTCTTCATTGCATACTCTAGTCTTTAGCTTAAAACCCAATTATTCAGAGATAAGGATTTCTGCCCCAGCTCTCTTTTGAGGTCCATTTACCTGATAAATGGTTCCCCACCCCTTCACTTTCAGTCTGAAGGTGTCTTTAGGTCTAAAAGGAGTGTCTTCTAAACAAAATTGAATGGGTCTTGCTTTTTTTAATCCAGTCTGATACCCTGTGTGTTTTGACTGGGGCATTTCACCTATTCACGTTCATAGTAAGTAGTGAAAAATATGAATTTTGTGCCATTGTATTACCTGTACAGTCCCTGTTTCTGCAGATTGTCTCTGTTTCTTTGGGCTCCTTCTTCGCTTACAGGTTCCCCCTTAATATTTATTGCATGGCTGGCTTCATAGTCACATATTACTTCAGTTTCTATCCTGAATGCTCTTTATTTCTCCTTCCATTCTGAATGACAGCTTTGCTGGATATACTATTTTTGGCTGCATGTTTTTCTCATTTAGTTCACTGAATACATCATGACAACTCTTTCTGGCCTGCCAGGTCTTTGTGGATAGGTATACTGTTAATCTAATATTTTTCCCATTGTATGTTAGGAATCTCTTGTCTTGAGCTCTTTTCAGGATTTCTCTTTATCTCTGAATTTTGCAAACTTCACTATTATATGTGGGGGTGTTCATCTATTTTTTTTAATTTTTGGAGTGGACGTCTCTATCTCTTTGATGTGAATACCAATTTCCTTCCTCAGGTTAGGGAAGTTCTGAGCTATGATTTACTCAAATATACCTTCTGGTCCTCTATCTCTCCACACCTTCAGGAATTCCAATAACAGATGTTATGTTTTTTTCAAACTATCATTTACTCTCTGAGACTCTCTCCTAGGCTCTTAGTTGTTTTTCTCACTTTTCCTCAACTTCCTTTACATCAACTTGTCTTCTATGTCTCTTATTCTCTCTTCTATTTCATTTGCCCTAGCTGTGAGAGCATCCAGTTTAGACTGCATCTCTGTTTGAATGTTTTCAATTTCAGCCTGATTTTATCTCATTTCTGCAATAAGAGCTTCTCTAGAGTCCTTTATGCTTTTTCAAGCCCAACTAGTAACTTTCTAATTGCTATCCAAAACTCCATCTCTGACATTTTACCTAAATCCACATCCATTAGATTTATGGCAGAGTATTACCTCTGGTTCTTTCTTTTGTAGTGAATTCCTCCTTCTAGTGATTCTGCCCAGTGAAGAATGCCTGTACATGTGAACAGAGTCAAAAATATCATCCACAACCCAAGCAAAATACACACTAGACAATTCCAAGAGATCAAGAACCAGGTCCTCTCGCAAAATAGTGGAAGACTAAGGGTCCTCAACTCATCTGGTCCCACAAACTTACCTAGATAGCTTTCAAAATATCCTGAAAACCTACAAATTCAACCTGAGATGTAACAAGAGAACAGCTGGAGTGCTAGAGAGGGAAAAGGTTTTGCTTCTACCAAGGTAAGAAATCAGAAAAAAATAATAAAGAAGAACTAAAGTGGGGGAGGGAAAACACGACAAGCTGGGCGTAAGTGAAGCTGCAAAAGCCTCCAGTGCATGAAAGCCCAGCCCTGGCCAAATGGGAACTTTAAAAATCCCCACCTGAGTTTTCCCTGACTGAAAAGTGACTAGCAGGTAAATAGGGCAGAATGTCAGGAGGGGCAGTGAAGCCTCAGGATTCCTCGAGATACAATAAGAGTAGGGACGTGAGGGAGAAAGCTCACTGCAAATCACACTCTGATCTCGGTAAAGGGCTGGAGTGCCACAACCCTCTGGGGCATTTGGGAGAAGCCAGCTGGTTATGAGGGCTGGCTCTGAGCTACATTTACCCTAGAGCCCAGCAACAGTCAGAGGATATTGTCCTCCATTTCCTTTAGGAGAGACAGGCCCAGAAAGCCAAGGGTCCAGTGGCACAAGGCCCTCAGAGGGCACTGAAGTAGAAAAAGCCAGTTATCCTATGTTCCCCCAGAACAGGCAGAAGGAGGGAAGGTACAGAAAAGCAAGAACTCTCTTGTCACTGGGTGCCCTGCAAGCTGTGCAGATCAGTGCACCTATGCCTGCCTCCAGGAGCATCAAGACTAGTGTGGACTGGGAGACTACGGTTCAGTATTCCCCAGGAGCTCTTGGCTCCGGAGCTGGAGATCTGGCTGCCATCATTCTTTTTCTCTTATTTTCACTTTTTACCTGGGAGAGGTGGGGTCT